CTGGAAATGGGATGAGTGCCAGACAAATCTCCAGAAAACAGACAGTGGCACTGTCTCCACTCCAAGCCCTCCCCCTGCACACAGAGCCACAAAGCAGGTTGAACCACCATGGTGATTGCCTCAGGCTCCACCCCACACAATTACAGGTGCCTATTATAGGGCAGAAGTTCTACCTAATACACGGAAACAAACACAGGGAGGCTACCAAATTGAGGAGACAAAGATATATGGCCCAAATGAAAGAACAGAACAAACCCCCCCCAAAAGAACTACATGAAACAGAGATAGCCAACCTATCAGATGCAGAGTTCAAAACACTGGTGATCAGGATGCTCAAGAAACTCATTGAGTACAGCAAAAACATAAGGGAAGAAGTGGAGATTACACTAAGTGAAATAAAGAAAAATCTACAGGGACCAAAAGTGAAGAGGAGGAAGTTGAGAATCAAACTGATGATTTGAAACACAGAAAGAAAAAGGCATTCAATCAGAACAGCAGGAAAAAAAAAGTTTTACAAAAGTGAGGATAGGCTTAGGAACTTCTGGGACAACTTTAAATGTACCAACATCCAAATCATAGGGACGACAGAAGAGGAAGAACAAGAAATTGAAAACTTATTTGGAAAAATAATGAAAAAAAAAAACCTTCCCTAATTTGGCAAAGGAAATAGACATACAAGTCCAGGAAGCACAGAGAATCCTGAACAAGTTGGACCCAAAGAGGACTACACCAAGACATATCATAATTAAAATGCCAAAGTTTAGATAAAGGATCTTAAAAGTAGCAAGAGAAAAGCAGAGAGTTACCAAAAAGAAGTTCCCATTGTGCTTGAACAACAATAAAAAATAATAAAATAAAATAAAATAAAATAAATTTAAATATACTAAAAATTTTTTAAAAGACTACCAGCTGATTTCTCAAAAGAAACGGTGCAGACAAGAAGTATTCAAAATGATGAAAAGCAAGGACCTACAACCAAGATTATTTTATCCAGCAAGCTATCATTTAGAATGGAAGGGCAGATAAGGTGTTTCCCAGATAAGGTCAAGTTAAAGGAGCTCATCATTACCAAGCTCTTATTATATGAAATGTTAAAGGGACTCATCTAAGAAATAGAAGATAAAAAAGTATGAACAGTCCCTGGCTGGTGTGGCTCAATGGATTAAGTGCCGGCCTGGGAACCAAAGGGCCATTGGTTTGATTCCCAGTCAGGTCACATGCCTGGGTTGCAGTCTAGGTCCCCAGTAGGGGGCACGCAAGAAGCAACCACACTTATGTTTCTTTCCCTCTCTTTCTCTCTCCCTTCCCCTCTCTAAAAAATAAATAAATAAAATCTTTGAAAAAAAAGAAAAAAAACTATCAAAAGTAAAATGACAACAGACTCATAACTATCAACAACTGAACCTAAAAAACACACACACACACACACACAAAAACTAAGCAAACAACTAGAACAGAATAGAACCAGAGAAATGGAGATCACATGGAGGGTTTTCAGTGGGGAGAGGCAGGGGAAGAATTAGAGGGTAAAGGTACAGGGAATAAGAAGCATAATTGGTAGGCATAAAATAGACAGGGGGAAGTTAAGAATGGTATAGAAAACAGAGAAGCCAGAGAACTTACATGTACAACCCATGGACATGAACTAAGGTGGTGAGGGAATGCTGGAGGGTTGGAGGGTACAGAGTGGAGGGAGGATAAAGAGAAGAGAAAATTGGGAAAACTGTAATAGCATAATCAATAAAATATACTTAAAAAAGAAAATGAAATATAGTAATCTATATTAACACATAAAAGGGCAAAATATCATTTGTTAATCTCAATAGTTTCAGAAAAAGCATTTATCAAAATTCAACATCCATTCATAATAAAAAGTCATAAAAAATGGGGATTGCAGAAGATGTCTATCCTGATAAAGATCTGCAGAATACCTATATTCACCACCATACATAGTGGTGAAACTCGGAAATTCTTCTGTTTAAGATCAGGACAAGACACCATTTACAGGTAACACTAACTTTATTTAATATTTTACTAGAAATCCTAGCCAGTGTTCTTAGGAGAAAAATTGAGGGACAATGTCAAAAGAATAGAGAAGACAACTTAAAGAGCTTCTAATGTCTCAGCTGGAAGAATTTGAACATAAAATAAATAAAGTAGCATCAAATTATACCCCCAAGTATAAAATAAATATCCCTGAGTCTGTAGTGATATAAATAAATGATTGAATAAATAAATAGATAGGTAGTACAGACAAATCTTACATACAAAAGAATTCCAAAAAAATTATGTAGGTCTATTATCCATTGGGGTTAATTTTTATGAGTGATGTAAGGTCTATAACTAGATTATTTTTTTGCATGTGGATGTTTTGTTATTCCAGAGCCATTTGTTTAAAAAGACTATTTTTGCTTTAATTTCTTTTTTAATTTTTTGAATATATTTTTTTAGGTGTACAGCATAGTGGTTACACAATCATATGCTTTACAAAGTGTTCTCCCTGATGACTTTAGTACCCATGTGGCACTATATAGTTATGGCAATATTATTGCCTATATTCCCTATGCTGTACTTTACTTCCCTGTGACTATTTTGTAACTTACTTCCTTCACCATTTCGACCCATTCTCACACTCTTTTCTATTTTTTCTTGTCTTTTTTCCTTTTTAAATTTTTTTTTCAATTATAGTTTACAGTCAATATTTTTTAAAGATTTTATTTATTTATTTTTAGAGAAAGGTGAGGAGAAGGAGAGGGAGAGAAACATCAATGTGTGGTTGCCTCTTGTGTGCCTCCATCTGGGGACCTGGCCCACAACCCAGGCATGTGCCCTGACAGGGATACAAACTGACAACACTTTGGTTTGCAGGCCAGTGCTCAATCCACTGATCCACACCAGCCAAGGCCACAGCCAATATAATTTTTATTAGTTTCAAGTGTTCAGTATATACTTTACAAAATGTTCCCCCTGATATTTGCAGTACTCAACGGGCACCATACGTAATTATTACTTCTTTTTATTGTTTTTACTTCTTCATCAAAAGTCAGTTGACTACATATGTGTGTCTATTTCTGGGCTTTCTGTTCTGTTCCAATAGGAAATTTTTTCAGTGGAAGATGCTACAGCCTTATTGTGTACTAATACAGAAGAAGAGATGTTGGCATTAGACAGGAGCTGATTTTAACAGGAGGGAATATGGCCTGGGTAGAGGTGGGTAGATTTGATGGTAGGAAGAAGAAGAATGTCTATTCTAAATGATTCTCTTCTCAGTGAAAAAAGAAACAACTGAGAGTGAGAATCAGGAAGCAAATAGTCAACTAAGTAGGTGAGAAGGTGAACTTCTAGGAAAACATAATAGGATGGCTAGGTAGGTTCAGTGCCCATTTGAGATTTATGATCATTATTTTTTTATTATTGACACTATTATAGATGTCCCCTTTTGCCCCACTCCACCCACCCCACCCCCTGAACTTCACCACATTGTTCTCTGCCCATGAGCTGTGTATATAATGCAGAAGGTAGTTGCAGAGCTGTGTGATGTTTCTTCTACACCATTGTTCTGCTTAGGTGTAGGTAAGAAATAGGCTGTTTACTGGGTTTTACCAAATGAGTGGGTTTTACCAAATGAGTGGGTTTTAAGACAAGAATGCAAGTGGAAGTTGGTTTTTAATCCTTATATCTAGAGTCTGGGATCATGTCCTCAGGGTTTTCAACTGCTGTGTCTGTGTTATTGCTTTCCCCCCTTCCTCTCTTTTAAACCTCATGCAATCAGATGATGGTGACTGCCACCCTTGCTTAATGCTGTAATCAACGGTTCTTCTGGTCATGCTTGCTCATTCAATGAATATTTTATTACCTGAATCATTGTTTCCCTCTCCACTGTTGGGGAATTCAGTGCCCAATGGTAGAAAAGGCTGAGGGGAAGCAGTGTCCTCAGCAGGTATTCAAATTTCAATTAGTGTGTGAAGGTGCAAGAAATACTTCCTGAAGAAATTGAAATCATTTATTACATTTTAATATTTAAGTTGACTCTTACTTTTTCCTATTTTGTAGAGCTAAACATTAAACTTCCTGAAAAAAAGGGGGAAAAAAAGGAAAGGGGCCTTTACTGAGAAACCTAAGTAGCAGTCTGAGCAATCTTATGAAAAGAATAAATAATGTGAGCTTTGTCTATACTCAAACCCCTGTAATGTGGATGCAAAGAAGCTTTTGTGTTATTTTAATTGTGTTCTCAATGAGTACATTTTATTTTGTGATTTATACTTCAAAAAGGTTGATTTTAAAATTTCTGTATTCTGACACAAATATTCTAGGAGCTAGGGGAACATGCTACTAACATCAGTAGGAGCCTAAGACTAAACGAAGTTCTTTTTTTATGTGTATTTTATACTTTACTCTTATTTAAAACTTACTCTTATTAAGAGCACAGTTCAAAAAAAAAAAGCCCAAAAGCTTCTTTACATCCACATTACAGGGGTTTGAATATAGATAAAGCTCACTTTATTTATTCTTTTCACAAGATTGCTCAGACTGCTACTTAGGTTTCTCAATAAAGGCCCCTTTCCTTTCCTTTCCTTTCCTTTCCTTTCCTTTCCTTTCCTTTCCTTTCCTTTCCTTTCCTTTCCTTTCCTTTCCTTTCCTTTCCTTTCCTTTCCTTTCCTTTCTTTTTTTTCTTTTCCACATTTTTAAATTGTTGTACTTGAACAATAAGAAGCTTTGTTTTCTGGGGCTAGGCTACACTTTTCTCCTTGATCCTAGTTGTTAATACTTTAACCTAGTTGTTAAGACTTGATCTTTTTTTTAATTACTTTACTGTTGTTCAATTACAGTTGTCTGCATTTTCCCCCCACCACTCCCCTGCACCCCAGCCAAACCCACTTCCCTCCCTTGCTTCCACCCTCTCCCTTGGTTTTGTCCATGTGAAGGGGGAAGGATTTTCAGGAACTACTATAAAGGATACATGAACAAGACTTGATCTTATAGTTCATTTATACTTTCAGATTATATTTAAGAATCAAGCAAGCCGACCATATAACATCTTCCCTCATGGAATCACTGATGTCAGTCCTTTGCACTCAGGGAGATTGCCAAAAGGTAAGTCTTACCTCAATTTTATACTTCTTACTTACCTGTAGGTACAGATGAAGTCACAGTCTCAATAATAACTAAAATTATGCTGGCCCTTTCCCTGAGTAATGTACCATATAGGCACATTTATCACCCACCATCCTTTATACTATAATTTCCAGTTGTATTACATCTATGTGATTTATAGTACCCACAATAAAATGCTATGTTTTTTGCTTTAAAGTTAAACATACATATGTAGCTTCAGAAAATTATGAGGAAAAGCATTCCTTGATATTTATCCAGCTATTTACCATTGTCAATGCATTTTATGCCTTCCTGGAGATCCAGATTTCTCTCTGGCATCACTTCCATTCAGATCATTTCCCTTCAGCCTAAAGAATTCTCTTTAACATTCCTTACAGTGCAAGTATGCTAGAGATTAATTCTCTTAATTTTATTTTATTTCAAAAAAATGTATTTTTATCTTCACATTTGAAGGATAATTTCACTGGACATAGAATTCTGGATGGAGAGGATTTTTTTTCTTTTTAGCACTTTCAAAATATTATTTTACTGGCCTATTCTAGCTATGTCTACATTCCATAGATTCCCCTATATGTCATTTTTCTCTGGCTGTGATTTTCTTTATATTTATTCTACTTGAGGTTCACTGATATTCTTGGATCTATAACTTAATGTTTTTCACAAAATTTGGAAAAATTGTGGTCATTATTTCTTCAAATATTTTTTTGCTCTGTCGTCTGTCTCCTTTCCTGGGCCTCCATTTACATGTATTCTTGATCTTTTGGGATTGTCCCATATGCCTTAATGTTTGATCATATTTTTTCTTTCTCCCTCTCTTCTGTAGATTACATAATTTCTATTCATACATCTTCAAGTTCACTGAACTCAAACTGGAATTTCTGAGTCACAGTATTTGTATTTTTACTTTTAAAGGATAGTCAGACCTATGTTCCCAAATAAAGTAATAATTTGTACTTCTGCCAGTCATGTATTAAAATATAATTTTCCATATCCTTGATAGCTAGACAATAATACTTTTTGAAATACTGCCAATCTGGTAGGTGAAAAGTGGTGTCTCATTGCTGCTTTAATTTGAATTCTTTTTAAAATGTTATTTATTTATTTTTAGAGAGGGGAAGGGAGGGAGAAAGAGAGGGAGAGAAACATCAATGTGTGCTTGCCTCTCAAGCACCCCGTACTGGGGACTTGGCCCACAACCCAGGCATGTGCCCTGACTGGGAATCGAACTGGCAACCCTTTGGTTCCCAGGCTGGTACTCAGTCCACTGAGCCACACCAGCCAGGGCCCTAATTTGAATTCTTTAATTTCTTGTAGAGTTGACCATCTTTTCACATATTTATTGGCCATTTAGGTTTCCTCTACTATGAATTGCCTATTTATTTCTCCTTTGATTATTTTTTCTGCTGGGTCATTTGCCTTTATGTATGTATATATGTATCTATCATCTATCATTTATCTTCTTAGTTTATTTAATTATACACATTATTTTTTCCTGGTAAATGTATATAAGGTCATAATTTTTCTCTGAAAACAGTTTTTTACTATATTCCATGCTTTTGATAGTTAGTACTCTCTTTACCTTTCATTTCAGAATAGTTCACAACTTTTTTTATTCATTATGTTGTTTGTTGTTTAAAGATTCATGATACATCTGTGTCATGGATTTCAGCCTTTATCAATTACAATACCTTTCTTGGAGAGCAGACCCAAATAAACAAAATCAGAAATGAAGAAGGAGAGATTACAACTGAAACCACAGAAATACAAAGAATTTTAAGAAATTACTATGAACAACTATATGACAAGAAATTCAAAAACGAGGGTGAAATGGACAAATTTCTAGAAAAAAAAACTCCCAAAACTGAATGAAGAAGAAGCAGAAAGCCTGAACAGACTGATAACAGCTGATGAAATCAAAGCAGTCATCAAAAAACTTCTGGCACACAAAAGCCCTGGACCAGATGGTTTCATGGGACAATTTTACAAAACTTTAAAGGAAGAGCTAACCCCTGTCCTTCTCGGACTATTCCAAAAAATCCAAGAAGGAAGACTCCCACACTCTTTTTACAAAGCCAGCATTATCCTAATTTCAAAACCAGTTAAAGACACAACAAAGAAAGAAAACTACAGGCCAATATTGCTGATGAACATAGACACTAAAATACTCAACAAAATATTGGCAAACTGCATCCAGCAATACATTAAAAAGATCATACACCATGACCAAGTGGGATTCATCCCAGGGATGCAAGGATGATACAACATTCACAAATCAATAAATGTAATACATCACATAAACAAAAGGAAAGAAAAATCACATGATCATATCAATATATGCAGAAAGCAAATTTAATAAGGCACAGCACACACTTAGGATAAAAACTATCAGCAAAGTGGGAGTAGAGGGAGCATATTTCAACAGAGTAAAGGCCATATATGAGAAACCTACAGCCAACATCATACTCAATAGGCAAAAGCTGAAAGCTTTCCAACTAAGATCAGGTAATAAGACAAGGATGTCTGCTTTCAACACTTCTATTCTACATAGTATTGGAAGTCTTAGCCACAGTGATCAGACAAGAAAGAGAAATAGAAAGCATCCAAATTGGAAAGTAGGAAATAAAACTGTCACTGTTTGCAGATGACTTGATAGTTTACATAGAAAACCCTATAGACACCACCAAAAAACTACTCAACCTAATAAGCAAATTTGGCAAAACATCAGGATTCAAAGTCAATATTCAAAAATCAAAGGAATTTTTATTTTTTCAATTTTTAAATTTTTAATTTTTTAAATAATATATTTATTTTTAGAGAGGGGGAATGGAAAGGAGAAAGAGAGGGAGAGAAACATCAATGTATGGTTTCCTCTCATGCACCCCATCTGGGGTCATGGCCCACAACCCAGGCATGTGTCTTAACTGGGAATTAAACTTGTGACCTTTTGGTTCACATGCCCATGCTCAATCTACTGAGCTATACCAGCCAGGGCAAAGACATTTTTATATAACAACAAAATAAGATCAAATCAGAAATCAGGAAAAAAATTCCATTTGATATACCAACAAGAAAAATAAACTACCTAGGAATAAACCTAACCAAGGAGGTGAGAGACCTGTGCTCAGAATACTATGTAACACTGAAGAAAAAAATAAGGAAGACACAAATAAATGGAAGAATATACCATGTTAATGGATTGGAAGATTAACATCATCAAAATGTCTATATTACCCAAAACAATTTATAGATTCAGTGCAATTGCTATTAAAATACCAATGACATATTTCACAGATATAGAACAAACATTCCAAAAATATACATGGAACCATAAATGACCCCAAAAAGCCATGGCAATTTTGAGAAAGAAGAACAAAATAGGAGGGATCACAATACCTGATATCAAACTGTATTACAAGGCCACTGTAATCAAAAACAGCCTGGTACTGGCATAAGAACAAACACATAGACCAATGAAACAGAATAGACAGCTCAGAAATAAACCCAAGTCTCTATGGTCAATTAATATTCAACAAAGCGGGTAGAATCATAAAATGGAGTAAAGATAGCCTCTTCAACAAATGATGTTGGGAGATCTGGACAGCTACATGCAAAAGAAATGAAACTTGATCACCAACTTACACCATACACAAAAATAAACTCAAAGTAGATAAAAGAGTTAAATATAAGTTGTGACACATAGAAGTCCTAAAGAAGAATGTAGGTAGGAAAATCTCAGATATCCCATGCAGCAATATTTTCACCAATATGTCCCCTAGAGGAAGGGACATAAATAAAAGAATAAACAAATGGAATCTCATCAAAATAAAATGCTTCTGCATGGCTAAAGAAAACAACACTAAAATGAAAAGAGAACCAACCATATGGGAAAACATATTTGCAAATGAGACCTCAGACAAGGGTTTGATCTCCAAAATATATTAAGAACTCATACAACTCCCCTCCAGGAAGACAAACAACCCAATTAAAAAATGGGGAAAGGACTTGAACAGACAATTCTCCAAGGAGGACATACAGAGGGCCCAGAGACATCTGAAAAGATGCTCAGCATCACTAGCAATCAGAGAGATGCAAATTAAAACCACAATGAGATACCACTTCACACCAGTGGTACTGGCCATCATAAATAAATCAACAAACAACAAGTGTTGGAGAGGCTGTGGAGAAAAGGGAAACTTAGTGCACTGTTGGTGGGAATGCAGACTGGTGCAGCCACTGTGGAAAACAGTATGGAATTTCCTCATAAAACTAAAAATGGAACTGCGTTTTGACCCAGCAATTCCACTGCTGGGATTATACCCGAAGAAGCCTGAAACATGAATTCAAAAGAACCTTTGCACCTCAATGTTCATAGCAACACAATTTACAATAGCCAATTGCTGGAGGCAACATAGGTGCCTATCAGTAAATGAGTGAATCAAAAATCTGTTATATTTACACAATGGAATATTATGCAACAGAGAGAAAGAAGGAGCTCCTACAATTGCGACAGCATCGATGGAACTGGAGAGCATTATGCTAAGTGAAATAAGCCAGGTGGTGATAGACAAATACCATATGATCTCACCTATAAGTGGAAACTAGTCAACAAAACAAATAAGCAAGCAAAATACAGCCAGAGACATTGAAATGAGTAACAAACTGACAGTGGCCAAAGAGGTTGGGGGGAGAGGGATGATGGGGGATAATAGATAGGGGTGGGGACATCAAGGAGCATGTATGCAGGACACAGACAAAGCTAAGGGGTATGGGTTTGAGAGGGGGAGGCAGTGATAGGTGTGTTAGAGCGGCCTGGTGGGATGAAAATGGAGACAACTGTACTTGAACAACTATAAAAATATTAAAAATACATAAATAAAAAAATAAATAAAATTTTAAAAATATGTCTTTCTTGGTTCTGTTTTATGTTCCTTAACTTGAATTCTATTTTTCTAATTTTAGTATTGACATGCATCCTTACC